GGAAGGTAGGTGACTCAAGGACAAAAAAGGAGCATCAGCCTTTTATTCTAGAGACACATAGAGTAACCAAGATTTAATCTCCTATGCCAGTATGCTGCATCCATATTCAGGAAACAGAAAGAAATATCCAGAAGATTTTAGTGTTCAGTAAAAGTAGGATTTTACCATGGTGAATGTTTTCAGAAATTGCTGAAACAGTAAAAAGTATTATTGAAACAAATGGAAGAACCTTAAGAGAGGAGAGAATTTGAAACAGGCATAGAAAGCCAAGATCAACTTTTAGGAGGCATATATAAATAATTTTTGAAATAGGACATGGAGATGGAACAAATAAAGAACTGTATGATAAAATGGATTAAAAAAGTCAAATAAATAATTGCAATTCAAAAATGAAAACATTTTTTTTGGGGGGGGGAATCCAGGAAATTCACTCTGTTATAATATAAGGAGAAATGTTTTATAGACAGTATACAAATATATAAACAATTATATGTGAATCATACAAAAATAAATGTTGGAAATCCTATAACAAAGAAGGAATATTTTATCATGTATGGTAGTTATGCAAACAAACTCAAAAAAATTCAGAGAATGAAATGCATCAGAATATTCAGAAAGAAACCTAAAAAAACATTGAATTGAAACCCCAAATATTCTTTTGAAATATAACTCTACAAGTCTGGTACAGAACTGGAACAACACTTTTTGTCAGTGATTTTCACATTGGAAGGTGAAATTAGAGAATTTGCCACAATGGCAATATTTACAAAATCTAAAGTATCTATGATAGAAGTTGCAAGAATGGCTACCATATGTATCACACATGACACAGAAAATTTAGAACTTTGGAACATGTTTTCTGGAAACACAGTTCTGCATTTGGCAAATAAAGAGAAGGGATGGTGGCAATGTTTTTCTATAATCATTTTCTACTTTATTCATGCTTAGGGTTAGGGTTGCTGTCAATATCCAGTGTAAATCATTTTTCCTTTAAATTTCATGATTCTAATGATAGAAATAAAAAAGCAGTAAAGAAGCAACGGATACCTTCACTGGTGTATATACACCCTGCCTCTAGTTAATTGGTCATGCGGTATAAAATGTCAGTGAATCATGAGATAAACAGCAATTCATGTTTTCCAGATGCAGCCCATTGTGAAAAGTGTCCAGACGAACAGTATTCCAACCAGAAGCGAGATCAGTGTATCCCCAAAGTTAAGACTTTCCTGTCCTACAAAGAAATGTTAGGTCTCACCCTGGCTATCACAGCCTTATTTTTCTCTCTAACCACTGCCTTAGTTCTAGGAATCTTCATTAAATACCGAAAAACTCCCATAGTCAAAGCCAACAACCGGGATCTCACCTACATTCTCCTGGTCTCTCTCCTGTTTTCCTTTTTGACCTCCCTTCTATTTATTGGTCAGCCCCAGAAAGTGACCTGTCTTCTTCAACAAATCACCTTCAGTGTGGTTTTCTCAGTTGCCGTCTCTTCTTTGCTGGCCAAGACAATCATGGTGGTGGTGGCATTTTTGGCCACAAAACCAGGCAGCAGGATGAAAAAATGGTTGGGGAAAAGTCTGGCCAACTCCATTGTCTTGTCCTGCTCAGGGGCTCAGGTGGGCATCTGCCTTTTATGGCTGGGAATCTCACCCCCATTTCCACATTCTGACCTGCATTCTCAACCAGGACAGATCATCCTGCAATGTAATGAAGGCTCAGTTACCATGTTCTACATTGCCCTTGGCTACATGGGCTTTCTGGCTGCCACCTGCTTCTTGGTGGCTTTTCTGGCCCGCAAGCTTCCAGGGACTTTTAATGAAGCCAAGTGGATCACCTTCAGCATGCTGGTTTTCTGCAGTGTTTGGATCTCCTTTGTCCCCACCTACCTGAGCACCAAAGGGAAATACATGGTGGCTGTGCAGATCTTCTCCATCTTGGCCTCCAGCCTGGGTTTACTGGGCTGTATTTTTGTCCCCAAATGTTACATCATTATTCTGAGACCTGACATGAACACTAAGGAGCATTTAATAAT